TACTATAAGCCATCAAAGCTGGGTGACTCATTTCCCCCAGCAAGGTGCTGCCTCCTCAAGGTTCTAGAACCTTCCTAACAGTGCCACCTCCTGGGGACAAGTGTTCAAATACAGGTGCTCACAGGACATTACACATTCAAATCAGAACAATAGTAAGAGCCTTGGTTCTTGGGGAAAGGGACAAGATCTCCTGAGCTAATTGGGAGCATGGGGAGAGGGGAGAGGAGGACAAGAGAGAGCAAGAAGGTTGAGTCAGGGGAAGAATAGAGGAGAGCAAGATAAGGGATACCGTAATAGAGGGAGCAATTATAGGTTTAAAGAGAAATCTAACACTAGGAAAATGTCCAGAGATCTACAAGGTTGACCCCAACTAACAATCTAAGCAATAGTGGGGAGGATACCTTAAACGCCCTTCTCCAATGAAATTGATGACTACCTTATATGCCATCCTAGAGCCTTCATCCAGTAGCTGATGGAAGCAGAAGCAGAAGCAGAAGCATAGATCCACAGCTAAGCATTGAACTGAACTCTGGAATCCAGTTGCCAGAGAGGGAGGAGTGGTGAGCAAAGGGGTCAAGACCAGGCTGGAAAACCCACAGCTGACCTGAACAAGGGGGAGTTCATGGACTCCAGACTGTTAGGTGGGAAACCAGCATAGGACTGTTCCAGAACCCCTAAGCGAGGATGTCAGTTTGGAGGTCTGTACAATTCAGGGTACAGAATTTTAGTGGTACATGGTACAGAATTGTAGCTCTGGTAGTGGATCAGTATTTATCCCTAGTACACAAATGGACTTCAGGAGCCCACTCCACATAGAGGGATATTCTCTCAGCCTAGACACATGGGGGAGGGTCTAGGCCCTGCTCCAAATGAGATGACAGACTTTGATGATCCCCCATGGAAGGCTTCACCCTCCCTGGGGAGCAGAAAGGGGATGAGATAGGGGGTAGAGGGATAGGGGAGGAGGGGAGGGAGAGGGAACTGGGATTGACATGTAAAAGAAGCTTGCTTCTAATTAAAAATTGGTCTAATTACAATTATAAAAATAAAAAAAAATTAAAAAAAGAACACCTACCCTAAACCAACCTCCCTGATAAGAAGCCAAAAGGAGAGCAGAAGAAAGGCTCCAGTAGTTTAAGGAAACCACAGTTCAGGGAAAGAACAATACTTTGCTGGGAAACAAGGTCAGGAACTGGGAAAAGATCAAAGATGCAGTCCCTTCAAATCTTTGTGTGTTGAAACTTTTGTGGAGAAGGCCAGACAAGTACGTTCTCGGCAGCGTGTGGAAACTGTCCCCCTCCTTGGGCTACCAAGGAACAAATAATAATCAACTGTTTTGTTTAATTTTGTACTCAGTTAGAAGCTGTTCCATGTAACCCCAAACTCCGAGGTAGCTAACTTCATTGTTATCATGAGTTTATCTTTTAGCTCCTGTTAGCTTTGGGCTAGGAAAGTACAGTTAATGCCCTCAGTTTACTCTCTATGTTTGTGACCAGTAGGGTGCTCAAACCCTCTTCTGGTTAATTTTTTTTAATTGTCTTATTTATTTATTTATTTATTTATTTATTTATTTATTT